CGGAAGGACGGAAGGCTGAGTCAACCCTGAGCCAGTGAGATTTGAACAGCCGAACTGCTGAACTGCAGTCAGCTGAAGTAGCCTGCAGTGCTGCACTCTAAGCACTGCGCCACCTCGGCTCTACTGGTCCTTTTTTAAAAAAAATATCAGCTACAGGCTGTCCTCGACTTACGACCACAATCGCGGCCTACCATTCCGTGGCTAAGTGAGACATTTCTTAAGTGACTTTTGCCCCGTTTTACGACTTTTCCTACCCCGTCTGTTAAGGGAATCGCTGCCTTTGCGAAATTAGTAAGTGAATCTGGATTCCCAATGGATTTGGCTTGCTGGAAGGTGGCAACAGGAAGGCACGGCAACCGTCATAAATATGGGTCAGTTGCCAAGGGTGTTGGTCATGTGACCGTAGGGAGGCCGGAGCGGTCATAAGTGTGAAAAACTGTCCTAAGTCACTTTTTCCAGTGAAGTTGTAATTTCGAATAGTCACTAAATGAACTGTTGTAAGTCGAGGGCCAACTGTAAATGGGCTGTTTTCAGCACTTCCAGATGTTTCCACTGGTTATGAATGATAAAACGCACTCGGGATAGATCCATGTTTCTCAGCTTTAAAATACAATACAATAGCAGAGTTGGAAGGGACCTTGGAGGTCCTCTAGTCCAACCCCTTGCCTAGGCAGGAAACCTTATACCGTTTCAGACAAATGACTATCCAACATCTTCTTAAAGACTTCCAGTGTTGGGGCATTCACAACCTCTGGAGGCAACTTCTGTTCCACTGATTGTTTTAACTGTCAGGAAATTTCTCCTAAGTTGCTTCTCTCCTTGATTAGTTTCCACCCATTGCTTCTTGTTCTGCCCTCAGGTGCCCTGGAAAATAGTTTGACTCCCTCTTCTTTGTGCCAAGGAGCAGAATTCACAGAGAATTAATAAAAAGGGGTTTTTGTCAGGACCAGGAGTTTGCTTCCGGCTCTTGGGAAGCCTCGGTCAGAACAGGCAGTACCTGCGGTGGCATCGTCCAGAGGCAGGCGCACCAAGGTGTAGCACATGCCCGGCTGGTTGTACGAAAGGCTGGGTGCCGGGATGCAGCGGAGAACTTCGTAAGCTTCCGAAGGCTCCATCTGAACCGTCACTTTTTCCAAAAGCTGGTCGTTGAGGGTGTTGGTGCAATCGAACTAAAAAAAGAAGAAGAAAAAAAGAGAGAGCGCCTGGTTGGGATTTCTAGCATGCCTTTGTTCCAGAACTTGGCTGAGCAGCGTAACACTTTGAGAAACAAGAACTCTCAGTGTAAATCCAGGTGCAGGTGGGTGGGTTTTACCAAACAGCCAAAAGGGAACCGATAAGAATATTTTGTAGCTCAAAGTTGAAATGAGAGGTGCTCTCTGATCTGGGTTGCTTCGTTGAAGGACGTTTCATGACCCAAGTAGGGAACATCATCAAGGTTAGAAGGGAGTGGAGAGCAGGAGGAGGAAGAGGAAAAGGATAGTGGGTTCCTTGGTGCTCTCTGAACTTGGTGGTTTTCTTTCAGACGTTTCATAACCTAACTAGGGAGCATCATCAGTGCTACATGAGACGGGGGTTTCTGGAGAGGAGGAGGAGGAGGAGGAGGAGGAGGAAAAGGACAGTGGGTTCCTTGGTGCTCTCTGAACTTGGTGGTTTTCTTTCAGACGTTTCATAACCTAACTAGGGAGCATCATCAGTGCTACATAAGACGGGGGTTTCTGAAGAGGAGGAGGAGGAGGAGGAGGAGGAG